TCACATGATCCCGATCCCTCCGCCATAGTATAAGGATACAAAGTCTGCAGACGGATCGCGGTCATGCGGGGTTCTGCGGCGAAATGAACTGAGCCCCACAGAGAGAGTTCGCCTGACGAGTCATACAAAGGAAATAGTTGTATTTTACGAGGGTCCACCAGGGGAACTCGTGAGTTGCTCGGAACCAACTTACGAGCTCCCCTAACGATATGTACTTTTGCGTCAAATGTGGAGCATCACCGACCCAAAAGCGCACACTTTTGTTAGTGATCCCAAATTTTGCTCCTAATCAATGATTTGGTTCGAAACGTTCTGTCTACAACTTCATGGGGACACCTATGATTCTTCATGTAACTCCTACACATTAGCAAAATAGTGTATCATTAAGCGGATTCGAACCATGTTCAGTTGCTCAGTGGCCATTGTTCCCCTGTACCTTGCCTGCCTTGGAGGAGTTCACCTGACCCTGTCTTCAGGTGATCTCCGCTGAGAGGAATTTACTACGGGCTTAGATATAGATTTGAGTCGATTGAAACAACTCAAAAATACAAACGCTGTTCCGCCTGCCTATTGACTCTGTGCATTCATCGCAGTACTTTTTTAAGTCAGGTTTGCCTTTACTTTTTTTAACCTCAATAAAATCGAATTTTTTGTTGCTCATGACAGTTCGAATGTTTAAAGTCTCATTCATGAGATTTATCGACAAGTTGTTGTGTAGCAAGGCAGTGCAACAAAGAATGTCACTAGCAGTTATCATGATAAGATGATCAGATTTTCGGGTTTTGAACTTCCGGTGCGAAATTTATTGTCCGACAACAGTCATATAATGTATCATTATCATTTATAACCGTTTTGTAACATTACTTAGCTACAATCAAAAATTTTTAATGTTTGTTTGCTGTTGAAGGAAAAATAATTGAATATGTAGGGAACCAATCACAAAAACCAACATTGTTTTTTCATTGTTTATGCTGAGAGTGCCTCTGTTTTAATGGGATTGGTATCTCACGTCGAGGTCCTAAATTGAATCACCTTCCACTAAATGTATTTTCGTTTACAATAAAGACCAAAGACCCACTGTGTTTGTTTTCCATAGATTCTGGAGATTCAGGAGAGTTCTGCGACGAATGCCTTGAGCGTTTAGCTGCAAGTAGGAGTATGAAAGAATAATGTTAAATGGAAAGGTAAGTTTGCTCAACTATTACCTCTGATTGATGCCATGGTTGAAGAAATCAGCAATACAAAAATTAGGATGAAAAGTGTGATTCTCATGTTGGGCGAATCTCAAACACACTAAATTTGTTGCCTTTATAGCATTACTGTTCATGTGACCTGAGCGAAAGTGCAGCTGTGCTATACTTTGTACGATGACATATCTCTAAAGGTAATCCTGGTAATCTTCGAGATTTCACTGTGATCCGCTCACAATGGGTATGCCACCAATATTCTGAGTTGCAATAAGCTGTTGAAAGTTTAGGGCATTCCACTTATTGGGTACGATATTTAGGATTATAGTAATTCAAATAAGTAAAACTGGTTCCATCGAAATAACGATGTAACCAAACCTCAATTAACTTTAGAAGCTCCATTCGGGGCAGTTTCTGATTCACTCAATGGTTTACAATAATTTTTGATGCCCTACGCAAGTCAAAGCGGTGAATCCATGTAGTTGGGATTTGTTTAAATGAAGCTAACTATTTATCAAATTGTATGAATATTACTATAGGAGCAAAAATAGCGCTAGTAAAAATTCTGTGATCCTTCTCGACGAAAGTGTTACAAAATCCA